CTCAATTTGAAAAGGCTTCCCTTTCCCAAGGTGCGTACAGGAAAAGGACACCAGGGTTTATAATGTGAACTGTAACAGTCTACTGGTTTATTTTGTAATATTTTTTTTTTAACTGCAGTTTTAACTTGCAGGATGCCACATTCTACGATAGTTCTGATTTTAAATCCACAGCTAGAATCTGTATTTAATTTCATCTTTTTTAACCTCTTGCTTTTTTTGATCTCTATTTATTGATGCGTGTTGCCACGTCGCCATTATGTTTTTACATTGGTAGAATATTAATAAAATACACATCCGAGTGCTCTCGACAGTAATTTGTACCTGCTGACTTGTAGGAAAGCTGGCTATATATGAGTGTGTGTGTATATATATTATATAAATATATACATGTATACATAGATACAATACTGCTTTTTTTTTTTATTTTGTCTACGGTCTTGAAACAGTTGTGACTGAAGCGCGAGGCGAATGCTTGTTCTAGTCCCATCTGTTCAGGGTCCGGGTTTCCTCCCCGCGACGGCGCGTGGTGGGAGCATCCACGTCTCTCTTCCTGAAGTCAAAGCAATATTCCTCGGGAAAAGGGTCAGGTGAGCGGCCGGACGCAGCCGCGGCCTAGGAACGAGACTCTTGGAGACCTGATCTTGTCATAGCCTTGCGGTTGGTGTCCGCTCCGGCCTTATCCTCCTTCGGAGAAACTGTTGTCGCCTTTGGTGCTTATCGAGCTGTTATTCGACCTGCGGATCTCTAAGGCAAGCGGTTGCTTTTCGGGAACGGGGGGGACCTTCGCGCGGCCCCGGGGGTAGCCGGCAGTAGCGGCTTCGGCAAGCTCGGCCGCCGTGGGGGCGGCAGGGGTTTTGCTCACCAGCTCTCAGTTTCTTCTTTTATCCTCTTGTCATGGGACTTTTTTTTTTCTTTTTTTGGGAACTGTCTCTTAGCAGCCCTGGGACTGATAAAAGCCCTGCCCTCTCCCTCCTGCCTCCCACACCCGGCGGGGCGGGGGTAGCCGGCAGTAGCGGCTTCGGCAAGCTCGGCCGCCGTGGGGGCGGCAGGGGTTTTGCTCACCAGCTCTCAGTTTCTTCTTTTATCCTCTTGTCATGGGACTTTTTTTTTTCTTTTTTTGGGAACTGTCTCTTAGCAGCCCTGGGACTGATAAAAGCCCTGCCCTCTCCCTCCTGCCTCCCACACCCGGCGGGGCTCGGGGAGGCGGGGGATCCTTTTTGGAGGGGTGAGTGACCACCTACCGTGAAACCCATAAACCCTCACTGGGGTTAAACCCCTCGGCGATTTGCTGTCAGGCACGCGCACACACACCAAAAAAAAAAAAAAAAAAAAAAAAGAGGTTTTAAATTTTTTGGGTTGTGATAATTTC